AAAAGTTTCAGCTAAGTGTGACTCTCTACAGATTAATGAAGCATTATTAATCAAGGTCTTTATCATCATCCTCATCATCATCAGTATGTGCAAGCTATAACTTGAATTTTTACACATAAACGTCTTATATTTGATGCATATTGTGCATGTTTGTAGTCTTAATGTGTATTATTGTTATATTTTACTATGTGTCCTCAATGTAATGAGTAGTTTATAAAAACATTCATGAAGTTATTACCATTTATTAGACAATTGTAAGATTTATACAATTTCTTTTAAGAGAAAATACTAATGATGGTGCCATGAGATGGAAGACTGATAATGTATGATTCTATTCTTCAGTTGTGTAGTGTGACTAATGTCAAATCAAGTCAAATTGTACTTATTTGACTAACTCTGGCAGACTGGAATATTAATCATACTGTAAGCATGAAGTAATCTAATTAGTTTGGTGAGTGGGTGGAGCCAGTGAACCATTGTTAACTACACGGCACCTTAAAATGGTAACAGAATTGATTCAAAATAGAAATGGAAGTGATTTCATTGTTGCATTCATTCATATACATTACATTCATTATGTTGGAACAGCTTCATGTTAACTAACTGGCTTACCTAGCTATAGGCTAACATAGTTATCTAAACTAAATGGCAAACTTAGATATTTAGTGTGACTAATGTGAAATCACGTCAAATTTGAATTACTATCAAATCAGCTTCTTAATTGTAATTTCGAGTCAGTGATTTGGGGAATTTCAACAGCCATGAGACCATCCATTTGGTGAAAACAACTAGAGCAGTGTCATCAGAGAGGAGGCCAAAAAACTAAAGCCATCGTGGCTGACATTTTCCTCTAAATAAAATCCAGTATTAACACTGATACAATCTAATCAGCTAATAGGAGGCTATGTTTGTTTTCTGGTTTCACTTCTTTACAAGCTAGGGGGGGTGCCGTAGATGGTGCCGGTGTGTGTAACACAATAGCTTTTAATGATGGTTCCATCCAGGTGTGCTTGATAAATGTTGGAACCAGATGCATATAAATGATGTATAGCTCATTTTTGATTAGCAGGACTGACTGAATTAGAAATAATAATGGATTTGATTTAAATGGAAGGACCAGCTATGTTTGCTTTGCATCCACTGTTGATTGATATTTTGCTGAATGATGAGTGAGTCATAACTTGACTCAGACTTACAACTAGAGGGCTGATACAGACGATTGTTTGGCTGGCTGTAATTATAGTCTGAATGCCTTGTTTTCAAATTAAGCAGCCTTCTTTGAGAGCAAAAAGTAAAATAGCTAACTGATATTTAAATGATACCACTTTACCTCAAATTAGCTGGGTGTCAATGGGCCGGTAAAGTGTATTTTTTCAGGTCAGAAAGGGTTTCCATCTTAAACCAGAAATACTGTGTTTTTTTGGCTCTACCCACTGAGGATTAACTCAGCCAAAGAGGTTATTTCCTTCTAGAGTGGCTTCAGCTCAAAACATTTGCCTATCTAAGACTCCAATCTGCCTTAAGGCCTTTTGCACACCGTAAGTCCGTATTTTCCGTCTAAAATTGTTACAGGTAACACACCTTCAACAGGTCAGATAATATTTACGTGAATGATGACGAGGAGCAGGATGAAATAAGGGATGAGGACAGCACACAGACGGAGCGACAGTGTGGAGGCAGAGAGGGAGGGCAGCTCAGCCTCTTCAGGTAGCCGCGCTGGCAAAGCTTCCTCCAGTGGAGAGAGCGAGGGAGAGAAGCTGACAGATGAGGTGTCCAAAAAGCATCCTCACTGCTTGACAACTCCATTTTGTCTCCTATTGTGAATTTTAGCAAGCAATAGAATAATAAAACGCATCGGACTCAATTTGCCTGGTTTCTTTTTTATCAGATAATGCGTATAAAAATACAGACTTGGTGTGCAAAGGGCTTTATTGTGAGGAAGTGTGCTGTGCATGTACTCACCATACAGTATGTTACAGTGCTCTGTCTCACTGCTGTCTCCTGTCTTGTCTCGGTTTACTCGGCTGGCTCGGACTCGGATCGTTGCCTGCCTGCCTGCGTGCCTGCCTGCCTGCCTGCCTGTGTGTTCATGTCCTGTTCCTGCACAACCACCACCACCTCCACCACCACCTCTCTGTCGCCCCCTCATCTGAAGGCTATGAGAAATCCCGGAGCTTAAACAACATAGCGGGCATGGCTGGTAACGCCCTGAGGTTGTCTCCTGTGACCTCGCCCTACGGATCGCCCTGCCCGCTGCGGCGCTCTCGCTCCCCTATACCCTCCATCCTGTGAGACATCCAGCCCTGGGCCACTTTGGCCTAAACCACCCACATCCTACTCCCAAAGCATCCACCTACCCTTGCTATTATATCTGAACTCTGTTCTAGATTGTGACTAGTGGATAAGTACTTAACTTTGTAGCTAAGACTAATGTTAGTGGCTTGGGCAACCTGAGCAACTCCTCACTTTCCCCTTTTTCTTTGAAGGTACATGTGCTTAGCTAACATCCTTAAGTAACTGGTCAGTTTCCTTTGTCACTTGGAGTTCCCTTTGGTTCAATATTGTTGTACCTTGAGACTTGCAATAAAAGAACTCTTGACTGGTGGCTTCAGAAGTAGCAGCCATAGCGTTTAATAAAGGACAAATTAATAATCAGGGATATTAGAAGTTGCTATATTTAGATACCTTGAAAAAGACGTGCTTCCAAAAAAGAAAGAGAGATGTCCCATCATTTTAACCTCATACGACTGTGACTTTGTCTTTGATTTGCTACTTTATTTTTGGGATGGAGACGGGAGGGATGGGCATCGGAATGGAGGATTTGTCTTTCAGGACTGTGTTTCACCTGCTGTTGGGCCTGCTAATGTATTTGCATGGATCATCTTGTAACCATCGTCTGCAAGCAATGTGGCAAGGGGATATGGGCCGGGGCAGACAGTGAGGAGAGCTTAAGGATATAATTCTTATATATATATATATATATATATATATATATATATATATATATATAAGAAGGAGTATTTTTTTATTTTACGTTATTATGTTGGGGTTTGAGGGGGCTACACTTGACTTGTGTTGTGTCTCATTGCCATTGGCTTCACCAACAATCCACCTAAGAGACTACAGAAAGAATGCCAAATGGGTGTTCATTTCTCTCGTGGGCATGTGGGTTTTTGCTTGTCTGCTGCTATTTCCGATTAACTTACTCCCCACCTCCTTTATGCTTTCTTTTCTTTGATGGAGTGCCACCATATCAGTTGTGTCTCTGGTTGTTTACTCACAGATCACTGCAAAGAGGTTGTCTTTACTGGTTTCACACAAGCAGAGAGCAGTGTTCTATCTTAATGGCCTGCGGAAAGGCACCACCATGGCGGAAAGGTAACCGTCTGACCAAGTGTAAGGATCAAATTACAGTTTGGAACCCTCTCATCCTTTTGGCCATGAATTAAGATTTTTATTTGTCTGTGCACTAAAAATGGGGGGTTATTCAATAAAACTACGAAAAGATACCTGTATGTGGTTACAGAGACAAACGCCAACAGATATGCACTCCTGGTGGCACCATTAGAGGTGCTGTTGTAGCATTTAAATCTGTGGTTATGACCACAATAATATTGAGACATGTAAGTGTTATTAGTGTAAACAAATGACACCATCACTTTGGGAAAAATAAACTGCATATTGCATCATGTGAAACCATATTTGGACAAATCTGCATGATTTACATCCCATGTTTATTGCAAAAAACAAACTTTTTCCACTTCTGCTTCCTGAACTGCAGTTTCATTTCATATCAGCCACCAAGGGCTATTATTAACTGCTCTCAAACCAGACAGACTGACCTAAATTCCCTTAGAACAGTATGGAGTGTCTCTCAAATCTCATATAAAACTGAAACAGCCTTTGCTTTGTCATTTATTCATTCACGACAGACATAAATTGCCTCTGTGCACCAACAGGTGTGTGACAGCAAACATAACCATGCAGTAATGTGCCTCACCCATCCCTACAGTATGTCTATACCAGTAGCAATGGTTGCTTAGCAACTGGCTCACAGCTAGATGCATCTTACACATAGCTGGGCAAAAAGTCAAACAATTAAAAAGAAGAGCTTTCGCAAACATTTCTCTTTGTCTGTACACCAAATTATTGAATCACTCCCACTTAAACCACTGCAATACACAATAGAGCTTTTATAACTCTGGATATATGCTGAAAGAGCACCATAGATTTGTACTATGTTCTCATTTTGTGTTCATATAGAAAATAGCCAGACTGTGCATGGCAAGTTCTTCTGAAATGATGCTCAACAAAGACAGATTATGCATTTCTGATATTTAGAGATGTGTTTATATTTTATTTAGACAATTCATTTCCTATTTGAATGGCGATGGGATAAGTCATCATTGTGAGGACCTATTCCAGTGGGAGGACCCCATTTGGAGCCACAAGGCCACTCCTACAGGACAATAAGGACGAGGAGGCATGTAAAACCACTGACTGACAGCGGCCTAGCCAACGGCTCAGTGAGCAAGAAAGGAACTTAATGACCTGAAGGGAATCCTAGGAGGACTTTCATAAGAATTTAACTTTTCCCGATGTTTCTTTTTGTTTTTCTGTTTTGGTACTGTGGAGGGGGGAAAGGATAGCAAAGCAAACTGGATACATCCTTAAAAGAGACTATCTACTGTATAGATATTGCTCCTGTAAATAAGAAAACAACACAGCACATCTGGGCTAAGCAGCTCTGTCCACACATCTGTCTTATGATGGTGAGTCAGGTAACAAGGTGGTTGGTTGGTAAGTTGCACCGTGACACTCTAAGTCAATCACTTTTCTTGCTGTGGTATCCCTCCTCGCAATAAGTGTACTAAGATGTATCGGTTGAGGCACTTTGTGTTCTAAAAATGGAGTGTATTCATATATGAAATTCTACATACAGTATATACAGTACAGAGAGACAAACATGCTAAGTTGAATAAATGTGACATTATGGTCATCTCTGCTTTGTTTCCCTTGGTAATTTTCGGTAGGTAAATTGCTCTGCTGTGTGTTAATGTGTGTGTGTGTGTATCCTAAAACTCCAGGGTAAGATCTGCAGTTTGAAAGGCCAGGTTAGCGGATACCAACGAGTGGACTGTCACTCTTCCAGTTAGTTTTAGCACAAACATGAATGAGACAGAGTTCCCCTGCAGTCGCCATTGTAGAAGTCCCCCCCCCCCGGGGTCGTGCATTGAACATGCAACTGCCCTGCGTTTGTGCTGCAGACGTTTGTCTCTTCACAAACCAAATTATTCTTACCAGACTATTCCTCATAACTCCTGGTGGCTACAAAAAACTGCATAACTTGATTCTTCCAAACTTTTCCCCTTGTGGGGGTGGAGCAAAAGTGTAGCAGAAGTTTACCAAGTTATAAAGCTGGACTTCTAGAATGGCTACATCTGCACAGTAGCAATCCTATGTACCCAAACAATCAGATCGGATTTGCAATAAGCACCCGAAAACAAAAAGCGCCGATCCACACTGTGATTTCAGCAGCCCATTAAAACGAGACGGCAGAAGGAAAACAGAGTGAAAATGCAGCTCTACAAGCTGATAGAAAGGACTGGCAGGTGGCCCAACGTATGTGTCATGTTGGTTGCGACCTGCACAGTTGTTGGCTAGCTGTCAAGTGTCACCCTGTACCCACAATCCTCCTCGTGTAGTACACAACGCTGCTTTACTCTTTGAATTGACAAAGGGGTACCGTTCTATGTGTATTTTTAGGATGACGTAACTTGAAAAAAGGTGTTTATTTTTTTGAATCCAGAACATGTATTTTGTGTCTTACTGTTGGGTACACTGCTCTAACCTGTAAAAGTCATGGTAGTCTGATGTTGTGCTTCTCCATCGTGTCCTCAAACCGTCAGGCTTTTGATCCGAGTTCATGTTTTGTATGTTTTACTGTGAGGAAAATTCTAGTTTGAAGTCTGTATTTGTGGAGCCTTTTGTTGGCATTCTAAAGTGCATGCTGAAAAAAAACATTATGTCAAATTGTTAAAAAATAAAAAGATGACATACTGTGTACCACGTTCAGAACAATGTGTATAGAGTAAAGGTAAATGCTGTGTGAGAGATTCACATAAACTATTTATCTTTTAACTGGTGGTTTCTTTCTTTGCTTCATCTGACCTGTTTTCTCCCTAACAGTTGTAGTGGACATAAAGCAGGCCAGGTGTCAGGTGTGATGAAGAAGTTCTTAGAGACTCATGATGACTTACACAGCATTGTTTATTGAGCTCAGCCAGGGAGACTGGTAACACCATACAGCATGCAAACACAGTGTAGTACCAAACCAAATGTAACGAAAACTTCCTTGGTCCAAAATATTTAATTCCCTTAGTGTCTATGGGCTTTCCCTACAAGGTTATCTTGTCTTATCTGGCCTACATATGCTGATGTTTATGTCACATTGAAATCTAATGGTCTCATGTTTTTGCACTCTAATCTGTGGAGACAGTGAGTTGTGCTCCATACTTAGGTAAAGTCATGACAATTGAGCAAACTCCATGAGATGCAGTTGAAAGCTACTGAATACGCATTGTACATAGACTTTGCCAAACTACAACTACGAAGCATAACCTTGAGTTTCATCTCATAGTTTAAAATAAATCTGGAACACTAAAAGCAAGAAATGGCAGGGAAAATTCAAAGAAAAAGAATCCTTAGATGTGACATTAGAAAGACATTAGACGTTATTTGAGTTTAGTTTGTCTCTTAGCCTCTAAGTTGATACCCATAAGAAACTGCTCCATTTAAACAATGTTATATCATGGAGTGGCTTATAAATAGCACGCCACTTTTAAAGACATTTTGGCGTGCAATGTCAACGCATTTTAAGCATTTCACATGTCATTTCACACTGTTCAGTCCCTATAGACCTAAGCAACACAAAGGAGGTTAACCCTATCTGCTAGCTGATCAGCTGCTAGGCGGATCTGCACAGCTGTAGGGTTAACCGGTCGACATGCATATATAATTAATGATGGTTAAGGTTAGCAGAAAAGTACATCGGGGGGGAGGGATGTCAACGTTAGCATTGTTAGCTAGCTAACACTATGTAGCTAACGTAAGCAACATAGCTAATGCTGTGTAGCTAACGTAGCTAATGTTAGCAGCAATGTAGCATGGTAACGTACGTAACGTAACTTAAAGTAACGTAAATAAAAACCAAAATCAAATTTTGTGTAGTTGTTGTTTAACTCGGGAACCGAATGCCAGTTTCCTGGGTCAGGGTCCAACTTACTATCCACCCAACCACCCCTCCACCCCTCCACCTCCTTGTGTCAGGACTTTCATGGCTCGCCCACACACGTTGATTTTACCTGTGACAGTAGGCGTAAAATGGCCGTTTAGACTGCATTGACTTTTATTGTGCAGAAAAACACGCGACATGCGAAAAACAAAAAATGCCTTGGAATACCACGCCAAATGAAAGAAAGAAATCGGAGTGTTATTCATACGCCTTTTGATGTTACCAGGCTGATTTAAACCCAATTAAATAGCATACAAACAAATGCATATTAAACCACTTGTTTTGTTAGGTTAAGTTGTTTTGACCCTGGTATACCTACTTGCAGGTTTAGTATATATTGCATGAATTATGGGGAACTAAATGTATTACATATTTTGAAATGCAAGCTTGGCTGCTTTGCATGCCTGGCTGACCTGTCACACATAGGAGCAAAAAGGTTACACTGGCAAATCATAGAAATTAGTGTTTTTCAGTTCAGTCAAGTTATGTCCCTTTAACTGAAATGATAGAATGCTGCATGTTGAACCAGCTGGTCTGTTGTTGCTGTTGGATGTTTTATGCAAAAATCAGTCAAAAGGTTCTTCTGTATCTTCATCCTATAATGAGACCTGACCAGGTTTGAGGGGGCCTCTTTGTTCAACCCTGCGTCTACCCACCCTCCTGCAAGATTTCTAGCCATTACCGTGCCACTCCTGCTGCGATTCTGATCACTCCCTTTGTTATGTTTACAAAGTCTGACTGCTCATCTTGCAGGGGAAACAAGATACATGGAGCCATTACAGATTATTTTATTTTTAAAAAGTACAAATTCAAGACCGGAATCTGTAGCAACAGATACAAACCAGATGCTGGAACATCAGGTTTCGGCAGAGACTGTCATATTATTTCGAGATATGATTTGGACAAAGGATGAAACATTCAAATGTTACCGGTATGTACACAAAATCTATGTATCTGAGTATGTAACTAAACACAATACTACTGAGTGGAAGTGAAAGATGTAGGTGTATGTGACATCTGCCATACCTAACACCAGAATGTCATTCAGTATAATGTGCAAAATCTCATTTAGTGGGTAGGTGTTGTTGTAGCCTCACGTTATCATTTACTGTAATAACACAGGTGTGCTTAACTACTAGCATCATGCCTAGTGCAGCCGTCAGTGTCATTTCCCAGTGAGAGTAAAAAGCAAACAAAACAGCCGGTGCCTAAGAACAGCAGCAACATTTGTCTGGCGGCCGGCGTTGATTTCTCCCACAGGTTCAGGCTGAGATAATGATGAGCCAGAGCTCTCCTCTCCCACTTCCTGTGTACCATGTTCATTCTTCAAGTCACGTCTAGTAATCAGCAGCGCTCGGCGCACTGTATCTCTGACACATCCCAACTATCTTTACTCCCGTCGCCATGGAAACAGCCATAGATGTGCCAAAGAGATGTAAACAGCCAGAGCTGAGAGTGTGTTTTTCAGGACAGCCCCCCCACCCCCACTCCCCCTTCCTCTATTTCACCCTCTCCCTCCTCCACCCACCCACCCTCAACCTTCCTTCCTCGGGAGGGGGCGGAGTGTACGGTACCAGCTGCTGAAAATCCAAAATACCAAATTCGTGACATGAATATTGCATCAGAGGCTAAACTTCCTGGTTCTCGCTCAGTGAAGCACAAATTTCTCCCAGACCAACCTAACAAGCATGTGTATATGGATATATCCACAGCAGGTCCTATATTTTTTTAATTTTTTTTATTAATGTTAGTTTTAGATGCGTACAAGACTGCGCCACTGACATACTGTAGATTCACTGCTGTATATTAAAATCTACAACCCACAACAAGAAGGTCAGGTGCAACACAAGGACACACTGATGACTTGAGTCTTTCTGGTAGTGGGGGCAAAAAATGTAAAGTCTGTACTGGGGGTGGAAATTAACTTTTTGGCTCACCTGCCAAGGTGGCTGGTAGATGAAAAAAATCCACCGGCTAAGTGTATTTTTTACCAACCAAAATAATAAATTGAGTTTTTGTGTCACATACGTTTGTTTCTGTACTTTTATTTATTATTGTGAGGGGTGATGATGGCACAGTGGGTAAGATGCACGCCTTAGGTGTGAGAGACCCGGGTTCAATTCCAATCTGTGGCACTGTGTCCACCAACGTGTCCCTGAGCAAGACACTTAAGCCCCAGTTGCTCCAGAGGCGTGTGACCTCTGACCTAAAAAGCAATTGTAAGCCGCTTTGGATAAAAGCGTCAGCTAAATGAAAATGAATAAATGATAATAAGGTAATATGTCGAATACAAACTTAAAAACATGAATACACCAGAGTGAAATTTTAAGCTAAATTATATTATTGCTATTAATTGTACTTAAAACATAAAATTAAATTGTTTTCTAAACATACAAGATGCTTATTAATCATTCAACTTAAACCTTATCACTGCTCACTCTTGTCATGCTTTATCATTCAACTTAAAGCTCCCCATCAGACTGCTCACATCCACTGACTGGACCACCAACTTTATTTTTTTATGTTCAGCTTCAGCCTCCTCTAACTCTGCTTTTCGTTTTGTTGGTTTGGTGGTAACGTTAAATGTCACCACATTACGCTGGTGGCTAGCCAGCTAAAAGCTAAAAACACTCCAAGTAACAACTTTTGTAATTAGCTCTTAACAAACTTGTGTTCAGTTTGAATTAGCGAATGCGACATGTATGTGGATATTCTTTCCGCATTGATCTCCAACTGTTACACTCACTCTCCCTTCTTTCCCTCCTGTCCACTAACGCCCACCCCCTTGCAAATCTACGCCAATCAAACACAAGTAATGTGAAATGAATATAAACAACAACCAATGAACCCCCTAATCCGTGTATTACACGATTTAAGATCCCTACATTGGGGGTTGTGTGACACACAACCAGCAAGAATGCCGGTCTGCTGTTACATACATTTACCCGCCTATGTGGTGGGTAGCCTTCCAACATTTAGCGGCCAAACGGAAAATCCACCTGCATTTGGCGAGTATTAATTTCCATCCCTGGTCTGCACTTAAGGTTGCTGCTTGAGAAAACTCCTGGGGTCATTCAAATTGAAAGCTTTTATCCCCTGTCATTATGCATTATTAATAAATGCAGCAGCATTCCAATCATTTCCTGTCAGTATAAAATGGTAAAATAAAATTTCTTCTATAGGAACTTTATAAAACATATACAGTAAAGATTATACTGTACATCTGTTTACATATAGTGTACACAATGATTATGTATTACGCAATTGGGACACTGAACAACCCAGAAAAAGTACATGGATTATTAATATAAAAAATGGTTAACTGTCCATTTCTGAATAGAGACACTAAAAATGTATACTAACACAGATGTTTTGATAAAAGCACACTTGACATTACACTGATGACTGTCAGCCTTTTGTATTTATACACCCTGTTTAAATGTAAGCAAGATGCTGACATCTGAAGCTGTCATACTGCAGTGTGGCATTTAAATCCTGATAAGTGCCATGTAATGAGACTGGCATAGTTGAAGAGGG